CTAATCTACAGACCTAGGGATCAAGTCCTACTGACCAAACTACAGACTAACCTAAGTCGTAGGACAGGTTTGGGGATCGAATCCTACTCAGGTCATGGGGTCTATGTACAGGTACAGGGTAGGTCTAGGGATCGAATCTCACTCAGCACACAGGGTCAATGTACAGGGTTAGGGCACAGGTCTAGGGATCGAATCTCTGTTACTGCAGTACAAGGTCAACTGGGTGAAACCGTTTCACTTGACAGCCAACTCTCAAAAAATAAAAAAAGCCCGGATTTGGGGTCCTCTGGGACAGTGCAGAAAGGCTTTTTTTTCTGAGTGGGGATCCGGGCCGTCCGGGTGACCGGCAGGGGCCCGGGGGAGGTCCCCGGCGGCCTGGCCGGGCAGGGCACCCGGTTGGGGTCCGGGCCCCCCCAGCGCACACCTATCGGGGGATTTCAGACCCCCTTTGTGTGTGTGTGTGTGTGTGTGTGTGTGTGTGTGTGTGTGTGAGAGAGAGAGAGAGAGCTGTGTTCGAATCATACTTGCAGCGTATCTCATGCGCGGGGTGCCGCACGCACATGCACGCACCCACAAGTGATGCGGCGCATTAAAAAAATAGAAAAACAAAAATGTCCTAGTTGTTTCCAACTTCTTTTCGGAAGGATCCCTACAGCATATTAGCTAGGACCCRACGTCATGCAGAGATACACTTCAAACTTGTACTGGTAGTGCAGCCAAGCCCTAAGAGTCACGTGCAGAGACCAACAGGGCCTAGCTACGTGAGCAACCCATAACTGGTCGCGCACTCACTAAATTTAATTCTCTTTTTAATTTTTATTATTAGTATTTGTTTTCCGTATTTTATTTTTATTTCAAATTTGGTAAGGAATTCGGATGTAATGCACAGGCAAATCTTGTTTAATTTATTTTTCTCCATAACATATTTTTTTTCAGATTTTTTTGATGACTTGGTTTTTTTTTTGGGGGGTCCGCATTCGGCCCGAACGGCCGGACGCATCCCCAAGGGGTCCCATACGTTCGGGCGTTCGGCCCGTCCCGAACGCCGGTTACGCTGCTTATATTATTATTATTATTATTATACCCTAGAGCACATACATATCACACCAAAAAACAAAACACAGAAAAATGCAAAAATTAAGTGAAATATCATATATGGCAGCTTCGGTGAAAATTCACCGACAATGACACCACGTACAGCCTGAATTGCTTTCAACGGGAAAAAGGGCCTCGCTTCATTACTCTCGACATGCACAAAAGACAAAAATCATGGGGATGTATCTTTCCCTAATCTAGCAGAAGATTCACTCTCGTTTTGCACATTTCGAGAGTAGTGCAGCGAGGATTTAACATTGTTCCCTTACATCCCAGCAGTAAGAACCCTATGTGCGTGATTTCTGTTTCCTAATATTTTCCAGATTCTTTTTTTTTGAAAGGAGATGAGAGCAAAAGATCAGTAAATACCCAAGAGCGTAGCTCAGTGGGTACCCCATGAACTGTCGAAATACAGACCCGAGTTCGAATCCAGATGATGATGGAACTTGATGAGTAAGACCAAATATTTCTGAATTGACTGGGGGCTGGTCAGCTCAATCATGATATCTCAAGGTCGTCGCCCTTTTGAAATTGTGGAAACATTCTTTTCTTTTTTCTCCTGATATTTTTCCCTTATCCCAGCAGTGCAAGGAAAATGAGCAATAGTTGGATGACAAAATCCAGATTGCACAATCACATTGAGACCCAGAAAGTATCAATGTCCAGAACGCAGCATTGCACCAATACGACACCAATGGAGATTCGTAACACTGAAAACCGAATGTCAATGAGAGCTTGCTCTCGCCATCACCAACATAAGTATCCAGAGCCTTGTCCCTACTTGGCACTCGGCGCCCAGCCTACTCCCTACACAGCTACTATCTGTCTACTAATTCACAATGGAACTGTTGACGTCAGCAGCCAACTAAGTACTTGAAGATGTCGACCAATGCAGACCATCGCCAATACCAGGTATGTGCCCTCACATCATCATCATCATCATCATCATCATCATCATCCTTCTCTCTCTCCCTCGACTTTCACCCACGTCTTCCCTCTGTACACCCGAAGACCACCCCTGCGCCTTGCTGCACATCCAAGCCTCTACCAGCTATGGGGGCTGGGCTATGGCGCTGCCCTCAGCAGCGCCCTTCCTCGTACACGACCGCACATGCGCAGCACCTTGCCTTAGCGCAAGCAGAAGCCCACGAGACTCCGCTCCAGCAGCGCTGCCGCTAGCTTGCTAGTGCCCTAATGCTGTGCCTGGCCACGAGCTCTTTCCTATATGGAAGAGTTCTGGCCAGGCCTGCAGCTTGGCTGGGCTGGGCCTGCACCCAGAAGCTTCTGGTAGGCCCCAGGTGGCTGGGCCTCGGCTGCAGCTGCTGGGCTTCGTTCAGTTAAGCCTCCCAACTGTCTGTGTATGTTGCTGTGAATCCTGCCCAGGGCCTGCATTTCACAAAGGCCTGGAAGGCCATGGAAATTCTTTGCAGCTCGAGTCCTGGGTTCCCTCAACCAACTGACGCGACACAACTGTCTGAAACCCACATACGAAATTGACAGCATTTGGGCCTCTTGCGATTTGTTAGGCCCGCCTTCACTTAGGGCGGGCACACTTGCATCAGGGGCTCCTTAGGCCTGTCCAGGATCCACATCCTCGCATTCGATCCTCCTTTACTTTGATTACTTTGATAGTCCCCTGAGAAGTCTTCTATCTGCAGGCATCTTCCCCTTGAGTGATTTTTCGTAGCCTGCAATCACTTGAGGTGCTGTTTGCTGGAGCTCTTCTTTGGTAAACCACCGATCTTCACTGGGATTAGTATGGTGTCTGAATCTGACACGGTACAGCATCCTTGGCTTGTGAGGTCGGCCTCTACCGGGAGGTTTAGGCACTGGCATCACCCGATGCTCCACAATTTCGTCGATTTCGACTTCGCCATCCATGGTTGGAGGCAGCATTGACCGTTTGGAAGGAAACTGTGCAGTCTCTGCAAAAGGTGCTAGCCTTGAGGCGTGAAAAACTGGGTGTGTGCGTAGGTGAGGTGGATGTGAATCACATAGAGGAGGGTCCGTCCATCTGATCACCAATTACGTCTAGGACCTCCTAAGGAGAACCAGCACTGTTTTCAAGTGCTCAGCGTGCTCCTCTATAGTCTTACTAAAGATAGGGATATCGTCGAGGTACACAACGATAAACTTGTCTAAGTAATCATGAAAACTCCTATTCATTGCGTGCTGGAATGTTGCAGGGGCATTGCATAGGCCAAAAGGCATCA